GTATTGTGATCATTGCGCTCTTCCTGGGTGAGGCAGTCGCTCACTGGCCATTGGACGGCTGCTCACAGCGGCTCACGGTAGCCACGCCCTCTGCCGGCCAGCCCCACTGCAGCCTATGCCGTCGCAGATGACTCAGGGCAGCCCAGCTCCAGGTCGAGCTGTTGTTCTCCATCTTAGCTGTAGAGGGCAGTGTCACTGGCCCTCATGTGGGATCTGAACAGGGGCTCTGCAGTTCAGAGCTGGTGTCCCAAGCCAGCTCTTAACCAACGTGCCACTCGGCTGGCCCTCACAAGTCATTTTTAAATGTCTTGTTCCAATGCTAAAAGGAGGAATGGAGCTCAGGTGATTTTTAAAGGATTAAAGGTGATGATTGTGGCTGAGAACTGAAGGCTCCAATTACATGAGAGAAGTGACTCTCAGATGACAGTCTTGCAGTGGTGGCTGGAGATAGAATTAATTATTTCTTTGGTCTCAGGGAGAACTTATCCTTCTGTAAGACTATTTTCTGTGTAACATATGTTGTCTTATTGTGTGAAAAATCTTAATGTAATAGCACAAGCTTACATAGCTAAAAATATTCATTTTCACACATGTTTTTGCCTTAGTTAAAGTTCTAGAAAAAAAGGCTGTATGCTAACAAATGTCTGCCTAAGCTAAAAGCCTAAAGAAAATGGGAATTTAAATGACCAGTAGAGTTCGCCATGGATTGCTTTGGTTGAGAAATACTTAAATATATTAGAAGCTGCAACTGTGGGGCTACATCCTGGATTGGATCCAGAGTGGATCTACTCCATCTACTGTGTAATTTTGAATAGAGCTTATTGTCCGGTTAAGGAATGGCACCTTTTACATAAGAGAATGTCCCAGTTAACTTAAACTGGGCACCTTTCCGAGGGCCTAACCTCCATTTTTATTTGCTTTTAATTTCTGGGTGTCCAGAAAGCTGGGAAACATAGGGTAAACTTATTTTTAAATAGTGTATTTGTTTTCAAATAATAGGTCCAGTTGGCTCTTATCCTCCAAACACCTTTTCAGGCTCAGTATCTCTAAATTTAAAGCAGTGTGTCCAACTGGTAATCTGGAAAATGAACATGGTATATATACTCTTTTTCCTGTTCCCCAGAATTCCCAATTCAGATAGAAAATATGAATTACTTTCTTTATTACTCCACAGAAAAATATGCACGAAAAGAATTTAATCTTGATGGTGCAGGGTAGTTACGAGCGTCTGCTGTTGTGCGGTTGAGTTATATAAATGGGATTTGACCTCTGTACTGGCGCTGGCATTCTAAGCACTTTGGGTTTGGGAGTTGTTCTATGTGTTTGTTTGCGTTTTGTACTTTCTCTTTAGCTGTCAGACTTTCAGCTGTCACTTCTCATTAACATGACTAGGCTTAACTCCTGCATTCTCCCCTCTCCCTATTCCTATATTTGGTTTCTTCTCATCTGGTTAGGAAATCAGATAAGCAGGCCTGCTATAATCAGGTAAGCTTCCAAAGGGTCAGTAAGAGGACTGAGTGGGGCTATTAGAGCTCTGTTTTTAAAAAGTCTGCATGGGCTGCTTGGTGTACCTTTCCCCCTTCCCTTCCGTGGGAGGTGTTTCCATACAGGAATTGGAGATGAAACATGTGCCTTCTCACACAGTACACGATTATGGGCCACATTTTCCTGCTTCTTGTCATGTTTATGGAATTTCCGTGTTTATGAAATTAAGATGCTGTGTATTGTGCATGTTTTATTGTCTAGTGTCTGCATTTTGTTATATTCCTTTAAGGAATGTTATGCTTTGTTTTGGTAAATCAGTTACGTTCATTGCAGATCTGTCTAATCTCGCTGGGACCTGTTTTTAAACTCTGATTGGGCCTTCACTCCAGAAATGGTTCAGTCCTGTTAAGAAGGCCTGTCCTCTGGGGGAGTAGGGGTGGGGGGTCATTACTGAATATGCCTCCCATGAGTCACTCAGAACATTGGTGCTTGAACATCTTCTTCCTACTTTGTATAAACTTTTGAATCAGTTTATAGTTTCTTGGTCATTTTTTGCCCTGCCTTGTGGAATTTCACTCACACATGTATGGCCTAGAACTTAGTACATTTCTAGAGCTCTTTTCCTGGGTAGCTTCCCCTTTTCTAGCACTCTGCCCTGTAACTTCCAGCTACCCCAGCCTTCCTGAACTCTGAGCTTCATTTTCTCAACTTAACAAGGCTGTTGAGTTCAATTTGGGTTCCCCTTCCCTGTACTCGGTGGCCTGGAAAGTGACTCCCTGCAGCAAGTAGGGGAGGTTGTATGGCTCACCTTGTTTTTCTTCTCCCAGGGATCACAGTTCTGCACTGCCTGCTGTCCTGTCTAAAAGTGGTGGTTTGACAGATTCTGTCTGGTTTTAGCTATTTACTGTAAGAGGTTACGTCTGGTCCTTGCCAGCCATCATTGCTGCAAGCAGAAGTCCCAAGAATTCCAGTGCAGTTGTTGGTCCATTGAAAGTAATTCTCAGTAATTGAAGGCAACTCTAAATGGTATGCCTGCCTGTGTTAACCAGATGCAATTGCAGTGTGTTTTGAGTGACATGTAATAGTGTCCTCATTTCCCCATTTGTTCCTTACCTTTCCCACTGACTGGAACTGTTACTGTTCTGAGAGGAATAAAGGTTACAGTTCTCAGCATGGTCGCACAGTGACAGTATTTCAGATGCTCTTGGAGCTCCCCCGAGGACAGAACAGCTGAGATGAGTCCTTGTCACTGCTGATGCTGTCAGTGCTCAGTGGGTGACCTCTCCTTTGGGGTGTTCTTGTCCTTTACCTCAGACTACATTTTACTCTTGGGTAGAGCCGTTATTCATGTGCTCTGGCAGTTTAAGAATCACCTTTTGAACCCACATGGGAAATCTATGTTAATTATCACTATCTGAATTAATAAGAAGTTGATGCATGGATTGAAAGAACCATCTGTGAAACAGCATAAGCATAGCCTCGATATGGTGATCTGGGAAATTTAAAGGCATGCTGAAGGAAGCTAATTTGCACAAGGATTTGATTTGCAGGGATGTGTTTCCCTGCCTTGATGCTGAATAAAAGAAGCCATGTACTTTGAAGTGGCTTGTTGGTGAGCTGTAAAGACCAGTAGAGTCCTGAGTAGACACTACACTTGGCTGTTGATAGTTTAGCTAAGAAGCAACTAGATCAAGAAAAACAGGTTGTTATTTGTATCTGTTGTTTGGGCAATAATTATTTACTTCTGACTGACTTATTGATCAAAATACAAATATCACGCCCTTTTTCAGAAATCTTGCTTATCACCAGCGATAGATGTCAGTTTTCTTTTGTTGTTTTTAATTACTCTGAGCTCTTTGCTTAGCCTCCTGAATGATTGGCGCATGCTCTGTAAGCCTTCAGCACTCTGCACAGTGCGCCATGATAACTTTTATTTTGTGTCATCAGAATGTTGTTTATAAACATGTTGGTTTTTTAAAAGTCCAAATATGTTTTTTTTTAATGTAACTTGAGGAATATTGATTAGGTCCACTGCTGCTCAGAAAAATTAGAAGTTAATGAACTTATTAGAAATGATCAACCTCATTAAAAGAGAAATGCAACATTGAAGAAGAAGCATCTTTTTTCACCTGTCAAATTTTGGTTGAAAATTAAAAATGAAAATCAGTCTTGGCGAGAGTGTGGCAAAATGGGCACTTCTTTGAACTTCCAGGAAAAATATGTATTTCTATTGTTACTGAACCAAAGTTCGGGTACCTGACACTTTGAAAGGCCAAAACTGAATTTCAGAGTTAGGAGTAAGGAAAGGTTTATTGATCGGGAAGTCGCCAACTGCAGAGACGGGAGACCTAATGGTGCCTCAGATCCATCTTGCTCACTGGACTAGGTTAAGGGTTTTTAAGAGGTTAGGGGAACACGTATGTGGAAGTGCTGGTGGGGCAAGTTTTAATTGGAGGATCTTGGAACTTGGCCATTTATGATAAGGGGATGTCAACATTAGATCTTCCAGGACAACGGATCCTTGGCTTCTGAAAGGGTTCCGGTGTTCCAGTTCCAGTTATGTCCTGGTCCTTTGGTTCCACTGGGGTGTGGAGGGGCGCGGTGTAAGACTTTAATTCCGGGTGCAGCTGGAGGTGAAAGTTATCTGCATGCTTTGGCTGCATGACTTGTGGTTTTGCAGTTGTCTCTGCAAGACAACTCAGTATATCGTTAAACAGGATAGGACCATTTTGAGGTTCTGTGGTTACAATATGACCTTTCTGAAGATAAGTCTGGTATAGTATACATCAAAAACTTGTATACTCTTTGACTCAGTAATATTGCTCCCAGGGATTTTTTTTTTTCTTAAAATTGTTAGAAAGTCACACAAAAAATGCAAGCACTGGTTGCAGTATTATTTCTTTCTTTTTCTTTTTTTTAGCTGAGCCATCCTGCCACCTGTTGGCAGCTCAGTGGCAGCTCAGCTCAGGCCAGGCATTGAACCGCTGTTGCTCAGAGTTCAAACTCTTGAGCGAGCTCTTAACCAACTGAGCCACTCGGCCAGCCCCTTGCAGTATTATTTCTAACAGAGTGTTAGACCCACCCTAAACATCTATGAAAGGGTGTCAGTTGTGGCATTTTGTGGTTACAAAGTACCATGCAACCATGAAAAGGTGTTTATGAAGAATATTTTATCATGTTGAAAAATGGACTTACTTGAAATAAGCAGTATTCCAAAGTGATACATACTATATAGTCTTATGTCAGCTATTAAAAACTGCATGAAAGAATGAAATATGCCAAAATGTTAAAGTAACTGTTTCTAGGTGACGGTTTTGTGAGAGATTGCTTGATATTTGTAGCTGCGTTCTGGACTTAACCTAAGGCCTCGAAAGACCCTAGACTGCACCTTAAATTCCAAGAGGAGGCAAACCATCTCTAAGGATAGTTGCTTTACGTTCAGGTGAAAAAGTTTCCCCCTACCCCCGCCTTTTTTTTTTTTTTTTAAAGCAATGATGTCTGTGCTTACGCTACAGATAAAAATTTTGATGATGAAGATTCTGTGGATGGTAACAGACCTTCCTCTGCCAGTTCTACATCATCCAAAGCTCCATCAAGTTCCCGGAGGAATGTTGGAATGGGGACCACCCGCCGGCTTGGGTCATCCTCCCTTGGACCCAAGTCTTCAGGTAAGACCAGCCTTGTGGTGGTGTGGGGGGAGCTGTGCAAGCTTTTAAAACTAGACGTGCATGGTGCTTCCCTTCTGTGTCCTTCAGGAGTGAAGTAATCCCATTTGTAGTATGTTTCTGCTGGCTGTTTTTTAATTAAATTAGTACTGTGCTGTCCATGCTGATAAGCCGGTGGGATGTCAGTCTGAGCTGCTGAGTGGCCACATTTTGGTAAGCAGAGCCTGTAGGAGAATAAAGCCTACACAGAGGAAAGCATAGCTAAGGGACAGGAAGAACAGTGTGCACCCTCATGGCTTATTTGATTATTAGGACCCAGCCATCCATGAAACTGCTATGGGGCCTTTTTAGTCATTTTTATTGATTAAGACTGAGACTATCCACAGGAAATATTGTACTTTCTGTTTTTAACGTGTACTTTGTTTCTATAAGTAGCATTATTTCTTGTGAGACTATTATGGATATTGAATTAAATAAATTGTAGGGATAGCTCCCTGAGGCTTTGAAAATTGATTTACAAAGATTTCCTCCCTAAATCCCTCCTCTTCACCCCCCCCCATTTAGACAGTTTGAATCCTTGTTATATACAACTTTCATTTTTCTGTCACATTTTAAATTTACAATGCAAATTTCCTACTTTTTACTTCAAAAATACTGTGCAGCCACTGCTTTTAGAACCATGCTTACTCTTAGCATGGTCTTTTTAGCTTGGCTGAGTTCAAGCTGGAGTAAGGATTAGCACTACAATGCTGCCTCCTTCTGCTGGTCTGTTATGCTTTCAGAAGAGGCCCTAGAATGCTGGTGGCTTGACGGGATCAGCTTTCTGCCGCTTTAGTGCCACCAGCGGCTCTGTTAAAGGAGCTGCACTGATGGCAGAGAGTGACATTTGCATCAGAGGTGGCAGGAGGAAAAGCTGTGCTTATTTCTTATATTTGTTCTTAGTTCTTTCAAATCTTTTTTTTTGGGGGGGGGCATTTAAATTATTTTGTTGTTGTTGTTATTGAGCTTAAGTTCACATAGCATAAAATCAACCATTTTAAAGGTAATAATTCAGTTAGCTTTTTAGTATATTCAGTGTTGTGCAACCACCACCTCTGTCTAATTCCAAAACGCTTTCATTAGTTCAAAAGAAAGCCCCATACCTTTTATACAGTTGCTTCCCATTTCTTCCCTCCCACCCCCGGCCATCACCAATCTGCATTTGGTCTGTATGCATTTACCTGTTCTAGACATTTTGTAGAAATGGAATCATACGGCATGTGATCTCTTGTCTGACTTCTCTCACTTAGCATAATGCTTTTGAGGTTTACGCTGTAACATGTATCAGGACTTCATTCCTCTTATGGCTGAACAATCTAATCCTTTTTCTTGATCTATTCTTGGGTGGCATCTGTTCCACAAACAAGGCTTAGAAAATTTGTGCATGCCCAGACCATTTCTTTTCCTTCCCACCCCTCACCCGTACCCCTTCCACAAATCCCAACTGTGTAAATTATGCAGAAATATCAGTTCTGTCTTTCCTTTGAGCCCTCCCTGATCTCATCTTTTCTCCATTTTGTGTAACATCATAGCCATGAATTTCCGTGTTGGCTCCTTCTTGTCAGATTCATTAGGGACGTGGTTGGTCTTGGAGTCCTCCTCAGTATGTGGGTACATGGCGCTCACAGTGCTTTGCACAGCGGAGATGCTCAGGACCTGTTTGCTCTGTGGGATCGAGTCCTAACGCTAAAACAGACACAGAGCACCACGTCACAGTGTGTTACTAGTGATTGTTGTAGTTAGCTGGTAAATGCAGTGTGAGTGATTATTTATTGCTGCCAGGAGTTGTCTGTAAAGCCCTTTTCAGTCTAGGTAGTTCATTCGGATACCAAGCACCAGAGAGCTTGTCTGACAAGAAGCTCTAGAAAAGTACTCAGACTGATCAGTGTAAATCACTAATGAGGGTTACAAGGATGACCGTAGACACCAATTTTGAAACTTTATTATGGAAAAAAAAAATCTGATAAAATGTCGCAAGATTTCATGTGTGGTGTTCATATTAGCAAAAGAGAAAAAACTCTCTCCCAATGATAACAATTAAATTCTAAGTGTATAAAACATCTTACAACAACTTTATGGGGGAAACTTGCTACTAAGGAATACATAAAAAATGGACACCGTTATCATGAATGAGTTCAAAAGAAATGGAAATATTTTTGGACTAATATAAATTTGAAATGAAACTTAAATTCTCTAGAACTTATATGAATATTTCACAAATTCATTGTGCTAGATTCCTAACAATAATATAATCTGATTTGTTCCCTGAAGAGCTGAATTTTCTATTATATCTGTTTATTAGTGATCTTTTAAAAGATGTGCACATTAATAGAATATACATTATCTAAATACTTTAAAGCCTAGGCTGCCCATCCTTAAATGAGTAGTTTCTTTTTTTTTTTTTTTAAAGATTTTATTGGGGAATTGGGGGAGGGGAACAGCGCTGGGGAATCGGGGGAAGGGGAACAGACAAGTTGCTGTTGTTTTGTTCTTCAGTCTAGTTGTGGAGGACATCGCTTTACTGGCCCATGTTGGTATTATCATTGCGCTCTTCCCGGGCAAGGCAGATCAGTCGCAGGCTTCTGGACGGCCACTCACGGCGGCTGCTGGCCGTTCACGCTGGCTGCTGGCTACACACGGTAGCCCATGGCAACCCACTGCAGCAGGGGACTGCAGCCTACGCCGTTGCCGGCGACCCAGGGCAGCCCAGTCCCAGGTCGAGCTGCCATTCACCATCTTAGCTATAGAGGGCAGTGTCACTGGCCCTCACATGTGGGATCCGAACCGGGACCCTCTGGGGTCCCAAGCCAGCTCTTAACCAACGTGCCACTCAGCCAGCCCGAGTAGTTTCTTTAAATGACTTCAAGATGATGCCTATAATGGAGAATCTGTACTTCACCTTGATACTAAATGTCAGTAATGTTTGTCAGTTCCACAACACTACATTTTTATTAAGCTTTTAAAAAAATAGTGACATCTACCAAAATGTAGTTTTTATTGTACATACTCAGATTCTTCGAAGGCACATTGTTTACATTTTAAAAATAATTTTTTTTATAGCTGCAAAAGAAGGAGCTGGAGCAGTCGATGAAGAGGATTTTATAAAAGCCTTTGATGATGTACCTGTGGTTCAGGTGAGTGAGGGTATTGCATTTGATGACAAGCAAGGATGGGCTTACTCCTCAAATTTCATTTTTTAAATATGTGATTGAGAAGGTCCTTACTAGGTAAGGAATTCTAACTATCAAGACAACAGGAGATCTGAGGGTGCAAACGAGAAAATGTTGGCGCCTATTATAGTTGAAATGAAGAGCCAAAGTCAAGGCCCAAGATGATTTTCCAGCAAGAACTAGAGAGAAGTTGCTTGCTCTAGTAATAAGTTTGTGGGTCAGGTTACTTTATAAAAGAGAGAAAAAAAAAGATTAGATTAGATGAGGGAACAAAGAAGCAAGTTTATTTAGGGACTTTTCTTAGAAAAATTTGTAAGTTTGAGGGATTTCGGTGTCTGAAAAGCTATAAAGAATGCTTTAATAAAAGCTTAGTTTATACTATCTTGATGCTTCACTTAAGTACCTAACAGATGAAGCAAAGATTATTGATAAAAGTTGGGGTACAGTCACACATTTTAACTGCTTTGTGCCTCAGTGTTGTGTGGTATAGACTGGGGGATAACAGTACTTTTCCTCAGTCTACACTGACTGTCCTAGCTCTGGATTCCAACAGCACTTAATTTGAATCACTTGTTACCTGCTGCTTGATTGCCATGTGTGTATAAACTAGATAACTAATAAGGCTCAGATTTATCCTCAAGTTCCTGACCTTCCCAGCATGCCTACCTGTCTTAAAATGTGGGCTTAAATGAGAAAGTAAATTTGAAAGTGATTAAAGTTAAACAAGTACAACGTGGGGTTATACAGAATACTAACAGTAAATGACTTGTATATCACTGACCATTCTCTAGGTCATTTTCCCTTTTGAAAATGTGAAATCATCTGTTAATTTTATAGTAAAGCTGTATTTGAGGCAAGGTTATCCATAGGATCAGGTCTCTATATTCACAATGGGGCAGAGGCTCGTTCTAAGACCAATCTCTCTAGATGTTATGTGTCCTCTGGGAAATGAAATGATTTATTTTATTTTACTTACTAAATGCTCTGGACTTCATGTAATTAAGGTATCTTTGTTTATTCTTTAAATTTTCTTATGTTGATTGTAAATTAATTCTGCTTACAGATTTATTCCAGCCGAGACCTTGAGGAATCCATAAACAAGATTAGGGAAATATTATCTGATGATAAGCATGATTGGGAGCAAAGAGTAACTGCTGTAAGCTGTTGACGTCATATGATTACATTTTCATTAGATTTATTTATATATTCTAAATACTTTGTTATGAAATTCGGGTGCAGCTCTAATGAATTTTAAAGTGGTGAAATATTTTAAGTATAAATTACTGCATTAACACTTTATTTGGTAGAGTACCTCACTTCTATTTCTACTTTTAAAACATGACAACTTACACCTTTCTGTATACCCTGTATTTTTAACAAAGACCTAACTGGAATATCTGGTGATGCCCTCCGCTTTCACCTTGGTAAAAATTTAAATCTGTGATTGTTGGCCAGTAAAGTGGCTTTTTAGTGGCATTTTCATATCACATGCCAGAAAGTTCTGTCCCATCTATTTTTAAAAGTAAAATAATGAAAGTAAGATGGGCTGAACATTATAAAGTGAGGGTGTGTCTGGCAAGAAGAGAGGTGATAAAATTGCTGTTTTATTCTATTTCAAATTCAGACCAGCTTTATAGTAATGATAAAGTGGAAGATATTTGATCCATTAAATAAATGGTGGTTGGAGTGGGGTGTGGGGGAAGGTAAGCTTAGGTAAGTTTGTAAGCTTTTACAAGCTAAAATGGGGGGTTTAGTTAGCACAGAATGTACAAGTATACTAAATGGTTTCTAATTAAAAAATACATTTTGTAGAATTGTAATGTATTTATCACAGATACATTTAAAAAAATTATTTATTCTTATTTGTGATATGTAGACTTGTTCAGTATATTATCTAATATTTAAGTGGCTGAATTCTTTTTGTAAAACTATTTCTATATCATTTAACTTTGATATTGATCTCTCATATTTGGTGGCTTCTATTGTTTTATATATTCTATTTTAGGAATTGTTTTGTATTTAATTTTCTCTATCCCATTAGCTAAAAAAGATTAGATCTTTACTTTTGGCTGGTGCTGCTGAGTATGATAACTTCTTTCAACATTTGCGACTTTTGGATGGAGCCTTTAAACTATCTGCTAAGGATCTGCGGTCTCAGGTAGTGCGGGAGGCTTGTATCACGTTGGGGTAAGGATTGCAAAGCTCCAGATTCTAACACATAATAAAATAGCCTCATCACAGGGCTTCAGAGATGGCTCATTGAATCTGTTGATGGGTCTTTTTAATGTTACTTGTGATTAGTCTTCCAGACCCATTCAAGTTATACTTCTGTTATTACTTTCAAGATATTTCTCACCCAATTATGTTAAGTGTGACAGATTTTAAACTTTATTCAGTGACTTAGCTCTGAAGCCTTTATTTTAAACTTGAAGCAGTTGTTGTTAATAATACAGAACAAATGAAATTTATAAAGTGTTTCTCAGCCTCTTCATTGATTTTGCTCGCAGGATATAACATGATTATCAGAATTTTTGATTGTTTCTAGAAGAGTGCTGAAGCTATAAAGTTAAAGTTAAAGGCATGTACTGCAGTAAAATTTTATCCTAGTTAAACTTGTATGAATATTTGAAGCTGGAACTTCTGTGTTAGAAAGTATGTCAGAATATCGGAGAAACAGCAACATAAGGGGGCACTGTAACTGTTTAAAAGTTTTGGCTGCAGTCACATTTTGAAGCATGAGCATTTTATGTTAAAAATAAAAAATGAGGGCACTTTTTCCAGTTTATGCTTTATTAGTGTATGATCAATTTGTTTTGTTTTGTTTTTTTTTTTTGCTATTTTAAGACTAGTTGGAAATGATTTATTAAAAAAAGGAACAAACTCTTGGGCTAATGGCTGTTTGCCACGTCCTCTACATGTCCATTGACAAGATGTGACACACTTGTCCTTTATCCCTAGATAAATGAAGGTTCTAAAATGTTAAGAGGTTTATATGCTTCACTGTTTACAAGAAATGTAACTACAGTCCAGTATTCATTTCTTACTTTAGGCATCTGTCGTCAGTTCTGGGGAATAAGTTTGACCATGGAGCTGAAGCCATTATGCCAACAATCTTTAATTTAATTCCAAATAGTGCCAAAATTATGGCCACTTCTGGTGTTGTAGCTGTTAGGTTAATCATTCGGGTAAGTATGTTTTGGGGCCATACATTGAATTAGCAACTGGTAAATATTGGTAGTTGATAAGCAATATGTAGAGGCATTTTTCATTAGAGTGATTACATATAATTGGAATCATGTTGTACATATAGTATTGACCTTTTTCTCCCCACTTAATATAATAGCACATGAGCCTTTTACATTCCATAATGTGAATTACGGATCTGGTGTGCAGTTACTGAGGTGTTGATCATTGACTCATCATTGCTTTTAAATATTTGAACATTTGCGTCTGCTTCTGAGTTTCTGCTCTGCTCTTCATGTCTCCAGATACCACTTCCATTCCTTCCTCCCCAGTCCCCTGTCACCCACGTTAGGTATTTGTGCTTGTGGTTTTGTTAGGTACTGTGATTGTTGTTTAAATAATTGTAGCTAAGCACAGAAACAAAATATTCTAAGTTTGCTAAACATTTACTTAGATTTAAATAATTATCTGAGTAATTATTGTACAAGTTTTCAATAAAACCTAATAGTTCACAAAGGCTTCAAATGAAACTTCCCTGTGTCACCTCTCTCCACCTCCAATTCCATTTCCCCAGAGGCAACCCTTGCGACTGGAGCTTGATGATATTAACTTGATATCTGCCCAGAATATTCCTGATTATTGTGGGTTATTTACTTTGTATTATTTTTAGTCCTTACTGTTTACACTGCCTACTTCAAATTAAACCCAATGCCGTTATTGAACATTTTCATCGAAACAATATCAAAATAAATTGGTCTGCTGACCTCTTGTGAACTCACTCAGATCTGTGCTGCTCGGATAACTTAGACTTATACTAATGATTTGTTTTAATTTTAGACTTATTTACACATCATCATGTCTGTTTTGGCTCTGTAAATTTTGTCATGGCCGTTGGCAGTGATATCCAATGAAACTTTCCTTTTTAAACTCAATGAAATTATAATCTGAATATATATGTATGTGCGTTAAGCAGGTTATTAAGGAGGTGGTTGTCTTAGTTTTGCATTTTTCAAGGGTTCATCTATGTTTTTTGTTCTTTCCCACAGCACACACACATCCCTAGGCTAATACCTGTCATAACAAGCAACTGTACCTCTAAGTCTGTTGCAGTTAGAAGGTAAATTTTAAAAGTTTCCTCATTATTTTTGAATTGTTTAAAAATAAAGCAAATTTCATATTTCTCTCAATGGGAAAAAGTTTGTTTGATGTGTTTAATATTATTTAAGATTGCTGTAATAAATGCCTTTGGATGACGCATTATGATCTAAATAATCAGGAAAGTAAATTTGGACAACTTTTGCTGTGTGTGTGTGAGTGTGCTGAGAGAGCGAGCGAGAAAAGGAAAGAGAATGTGTGTGTGTAGGTATGTGAGTTAATTGGGAAGGGGGGAAGGAGAGGGGAAGAGGACTCCCTGTGCATTTTTTCCTGAAAGAATCCCTTTACCTATGTCATTGGTCTACCCCATTCTCTGAATGTGAAGACATCGATGGCGAGCAAGACAAAAACATTGTGAAAAGCAACGTCAGTTATTTAATATTAGCTTAAGTAGGAGGAGGTGTGTGCATCTTCTGATAGTGGTTTCTGGGCTTCTGAATTCTGACCAGTCACCTGCTGCTGCTTCACAGTAGTAGAAGATAAACCCAGCAGATACAACCTGGGTAGCGAGCTGTGGCTTTGTTTCGAAGTCCCTGTCTTGTCTTGTGTCCAGTGAGCGGCCCTAGACTACATGTGAGGAATAAGGGCTTTTCTTGCTGGTATTTATGATTTTTGACTGTTGAGTCACAGAGTCTTTTGAGAGTCTGTTCAAACCTCTGGCCCCTCTTCCCAGAAAAATTTAAATATACAGAATGGTTTTGCATAGATTTTTCAGGGGCTTCATGGACACCACTGAAGCCTCTCCGTAAACCATTATCAGGAGCTCTATAGTGCACGTTAGTGGGCAGCAGCCTCTGGCCCCATTCCTGTAGTTCTGTGTCCTAGCCCAGTGAGAGAGCCCTTCGCTTTAAGGCTTAGCATCCAGCTCACCTTAGCTGCTGCTGTTTCCCTCCTTTCCTAGGCTGTCATGTTGGTCCTGCCAGTTTTCCATGGGTAGGGGACCTCCTTTAGCATTAGGTGGCCCTATTTCCATCTTACTCAACAGTTATGTGGAAGGCATATAGAAGAAAAGAAGGGGAATAATCCAAATGTATGCAGCCAGGAAGAAAGAAATTTGCTTCTGCTACTGAAAAAGCTTAATTTTGAACTGCATGGCTGAATCGTATATAGCCGAAGAATGCAGTCTAGTCTTGACCCACAGTTCAGCTTCTCCTCAGGATTAGAGCAGACAGCTTCAGCTCCTCCTAGAGATGAGAGTGTGAAGTCAGCCAGGTCGAGGGATGATCGTGAACTTCAGAACTGACAGATTTAGGCTGAAGCATTCTCTCTTCCCACGTACTGATTATTTGACCTGTTAGGAACGAGAGTACCCCTGTGCAGAGTTGCTCTGCGGATTCACTCATTAGGTTTGATGCTTAATAAACAGTAACCATTATTAGAATGTGTTGTTGCTGCTGCTGTTATTATTGTTACTGTTGTTTTACGTTTCTAAGAGATTCAGAATGTGGCTTTTCCTCTCTGTAAGGCAGAGTTCCTGCAGTGAAGTGACATACATTTTGTTGTGGAACATGACAAGTATGTTCAGTGTGTTATTTCGCTTGGGCTGCCATAACAAGATACATACACTGGGTGGCTTAAAGAACAGAAATTCATTTTCTCACAGCTCTGGAGACTGGCAGTCTGAGGTCAAGATTCCAGCATGGTTGGGTTCTAATGAGGGTGGCTTACGGATGGCTGCCTTCTTGCTGTGTCTATACATGGCCGAGAGAGGGAGAGAGAGAGAGATATCGAGAGATCTCTGATGTTTCTTGAGAGCCCTACTTAATTACCTTCCAAATGCCCTGTCTCCAAATACCATCAAATGGGGGATTACGGCTTCAACATACGAATTTTGGTAAAACAATTCAGTCTGTGCATTTCACACTTCTGGCTTCTGGTGCTAAATGTGAGTAGCAACCACAATCACTGTGACAGTAGAATTGCCATCCCTTCTTCAGTTTCCAAGCCACATACCCAGATTGCTGTTCTTCATTTAGTCAGAGTGAGTGTCAGTAAGAACCATGTATCTTAATGCTGAAAAAGTAAGAGGGACCATCTGGCCCAGTCCCGCTGCCTTCAGAAAGGTAAAGAGGGCAGTGAAACCAAGGCAGTGCTCTATACCTAGCTTTGCTTTGTAGAATTTTTTTTTTTAAGGTTTTATTGGGGAATTGGGGGAGGGGAACAGACAAGTTGCTGTTGGTTTGTTCTTCAGTCTAGTTGTGGAGTATGTTGCTTCACTGGCCCAAGCTGGCACCATCATTGCGCTCTTCCCGGGCGAGGCAGATCAGTCGCCGGCCTCTGGACGGCCGTTCACCACTCACGCTGGCTGCTGGCTACACACGGTAGCCCATGGCAACCCACTGCAGCAGGGGCTGCAGCCTACACTGTCGCTGGTGACCCACGGCAGCCCAGCTCCAGGTCGAGCTGTTGTTCAGCATCTTAGCTGTAGAGAGCAGTGTCACTGGCCCTCATATGTGGGATCCAAACCGGGGCCCTCTGGCATCCCAAGCCAGTTCTTAACCAACGCGCCACTCGGCTGGCCCTGCTTTGTAGAATTTTTAAGAAATGAATTGCATAATCTCTTTGCCTTTAAGCACTTCATAATTTAATTGGGGAAATTAAAAACAAAGCAAAGCAATGTATGAGTGAGTTCCAGCATATGTATTATGGATTTAGAAATTCGGAGAAAGCAGTGATTCAAACCAGCTGATACATTCCCAAGAAGCTTCATAGAAAGTTGAAAATTGAGCTGCTTTTTGAATGATAAGTAGGTGAAGAAAAGAGACAAGTTCTAACCTGATGTGTTTAATTACTGATATGTTTAAATGGTGCCAACATTGATAGACTTCTGTGTATGATGTTAGTCTAAAAACTTGAAAACAAAGCCTAAAATAGTTTGTTCTAACACATTTAAGACAAGAATTAGCAGTGAAGATGGCTGTTTTCACTAAGAGATAACATAAATATAGATATATGCACATGCATTAAAAAACAAAACAAAAAAAGACCAGAAAAGTCAGGCCGGAAAAGGACATAAAAAAGGATAGAAAGAGAATCAACATGGCCTAGGTTGGAACAGGAGTGGGGAAAGCGACAGTGAGGAAAGGGTGTGGGCGTAGGCCAGTGTCTGTCCTTAGAAAAAGTTTGCTTTCCAAACCCCGCACTCCCCACTGTTCCCAGCCCAGGGACTGAGTTAAATAGCTCTCCTGTGTGCTTCTAGAGCCCCCTGTTCTCCTGGCACATGGTGACTCTTTCTTGTCTTTCTCACTCACTGGATCGTGTCTTGGTTACTGTTGTATCTCTAGCATCTAGCATCAGGGTAAGGGTTTATTAAAGATCCATTGAGAGTTTGAAATGGGAGGATTATGGAAAACAAACTCTGGTCATTAGAGAAGGATTACCTTCTGATTTGTTTCCTTGACTGTGTTCCTAAGACTATTAAAATTTGTTCCTCCAAAGATGGATGTATTGGACTTTACCCAAAGTGGTGATGTAATCCAAAGGAGATGAGCCTAGAATTGTTTTTGTGCACAAACCAGACCGAGAAAGATCACAAGAGTGGAAAGGCTGGAGAAGAAAGGATGTTGAAAGATTAGAGAGAGGAGCATAGCTGAGCACCTAGAAAAAAATTTATTTTAAGCACAACCTAGGACTTTAGCAGGAAAACTTGGCAAACACTTTGTTTTTCAGGGTAATTTTTACTTTTTTCTGCAAGGCATTCTGTGAAATTAATGCAGACACCAGTTGCCTGATTCTGTAATGTACGTTGATCTTTTGTGCATGCTTACACGCTGTATTAACGTATTATTTGAGGTAAAGAGAATAATATGCCCTTTTAATAATGTGGCCCATGAAGATTAAGTTTCTGATTTGGAGAGAACTTTTATATTTTTGATTTTTTTTTTCTCACCAGCATAAATGCTTAATTTTTTATTTGCTTTGGTTTTCAAACAATTCTGATTCCATCTTTATGTTCCATTTTCTAAATCATAAAAATTAGAAAACATTTACCCATTTTATAATAAAAATTCGTGTTGGGTCATTTAAGAAAAAAGCTTGTATTTTCACTAACATACAAATTACTAAGTTACATAATTTTTTTTCTTTACCACTTTCAGACGCTGCTTTGAATTTTTAGATTTACTTTTACAAGAATGGCAAACACATTCCCTGGAACGGTGAGCATCTGATTGGCTATTTTTCCCTTTGAATTGAATCTTGAGATTTAATGCCTCAGTGAATGGGCCAACTCACTTTCTGTCAGAAATGAAGGAATCTACACATTTGTTTGCATGATTACTTTCGTTATTTCTACTGATGGGAGGCACATACTATGGGTAGAGGCCTTTAGTGAATTTCAATGGTTGAAATATTAGTGGGCCTAGAGATGTGGGCAGATGTGCACTATGACAGCTACAAATCTAGGTTAACTCCTTATTGACTCTGATCCTGCAGCGTGATGTTTCTGCCAGTTCCAATGAGGTGAATGTTTAAATCTGTTGTTAGTGGGCAGAGTGTAACTCTTATGTCCTTCAAGGAATTTCACTTGTTTGAAAGTTCCCTTTTTTATCCTTCTGTATCAGAAAGTCAGCAGTTTCCTCTTTATTCAGATTGGTGTATGGTTTCACATTATTATAACACAGAGGATTATGACAGAATCCTTGAAGAAGCATGCCTCCTAATTTTGAGATTCCTTTATTGCCATTTTTAGTTCCTGTCAATTTTGGTGCTTGTTATTCTTTCTGAGTTAAATTTGGAGAAATAGATGATGTGTGCCACCCATTTTTTAATGGTATATCATATAGTTTGTGAAGAACTTTAGAGCATATTAAACATTTTATTAGCATGGAATTTTAATACTTAAGTACTCCTGGGAGTCCCACCCCGTACTGCAGTGGTCAGAGATGAAACAAAGCCAAGCCTCCCAGAGGGAGAATTTCATCTGAAAGTACAATACTTTGAATCTAGAAGATAGTTGCACTTTTTTTTCCAATACTTTCTTTTTCTTCAATCTCTTGGGTATTATATCCTTTCAATTTAGTGGCATTTTGGGGGTTTGGAAGTAGAGAGTAGGAGGAGGGATTTAATATAGCGACTGGAGAGGAAGAACAGAAAAGCATGAAGAACTCAGATGTAGGGAGCCTCATGTGTTCCTTCACCTCCTAGCTCAGAGTCTGCCGCTTGGCACGTGCTCCCTAAATATTTAATGAATGGATGAAGGAGTGAGGTGAAGACTTTGAGTGGGCTGGTAAAATTGGTAACTAGTCTTTGTTCTGTGAAACTGTTTGTCCCAGTCATTTCTCTTTTTCTAAAACTGTTAAATATTCATAGTGAGACAGTTTAATGATTTCTTCTCAGGGACAACACAACTAAAGAGAACACCTTTTTATAAAATGGTTCCGTAATTTTATACAGTTGTTCATGATACATAGGGGAGCTTGAAACAACATTCTATGTAATTATAGGAATGTGATGCAGATAGCCTCTTTAGTGTTGAGATTATTATTATCTCATTAAAATTTTGATAGAAACTAGTTCTGACTATGGAAAAATAGGCTTTTGTTGATTTGGCTCTTCAAAGATTGAGCTAAATAAGAATGGCTTAGGCCGGCCGAGTGGCTCAGTTGGTTAAGAGCTCACTCAAGAGTGTGAGCTCTGAGCAACAGCGGTTCGATGCATGGCCCAAGCTGAGCTGCCGCTGAGCTGCCAACAGGTGGCAGGATGGCTCAGCTAAAAAAAAAAAAAAAAAAAAATAGAATGGCCTTAAAAAAATTAGCTGTAACTAAAAAAAAAAAAACCACACCAGAATCACATCAGTGTAGGGCTCTCCGGGTACCTAGGCCAGGTGGCGGTGGGTGGAGCACTGAGAAGGGGAAGGTCTGCAGAGAGTGTTCTGGGTTTCTACGCGGCGTGTTAGCTGACTCGCTTGACACACAGTCTCTGAGTTCCATGTTGCCATTTTGAAGTTATTTCTCACACTTGTTTCCATCCACATAAAACATGGTAACGATTGTTACTACTTTCTTTTCTAAATTTCAGACACATATCAGTATTAGCCGAAACAATAAAGAAGGGAATACATGATGCCGATTCTGAAGCAAGGATAGAAGCCAGAAAGTAAGTGCTTATTTGTACACCACTGTTTTTATTAACTACTTTATTTCTCAGACGCATTTTCTAGATTGCCTTATTAAAAACACATTAAGTTACCTGAATATTTTTTACTTTTGTTAATCATGATTTACAAATATGACCCCGAAAGGTCATTTCAAAATATTTCTGTAGCTTTTTGGTTAGAAGGTAGTTCAGTGCCCAGGCCTGAAAGAGCAATTGTATTACTTAACTATAACTAGGACTGAGGTAGACAACAGAAGGCCCGTTTTTAGATTTATGAGACATTAGTACTCCACGAATCATAAAAGCACTGTCAGTGCATTCTCTTATTCATTAAGTCCTGTTAAAAGCCGAGACGTAATCTGAAGCGACCTTGATTTACTGTGAAGAACCAAGACCAGGGGTGTCTTTCCCTGTGACCGTATCTTGTAAGCATCCGGTGGTGGTTTGGGAGTGAATCACAGTGAGGGGAGGTGGACTGAGTTGATATGCAGATTATCAGCAGATTATCACCGTGGTCACTTGCTGTTGGCCGTCTCATGTTTGAGGCGCGTTTGCCATTCTGAGCGGTTGCGCTCAGCCATGTGGCCATGGCTTGTAGATTCAGTACCTCCCGGCAGTGACTTTGCCATCATGACTCTGAACACCGGAAGCTCCGTGCCAAGATTTCCTCTCGGGCAGCGCGTAGATGAGCACTGCCAGCTTTGCAGCTGTGGTGGTTTTTCTGTGCTTCTGTAGTTGACCAGCTCTCCTTGACACAGGCTAAAATCTGTTCTTACTAGCTTGGAGTAGGATTGCTTTACTTAGCTGCATGAAGACATTTCGATCAAGTGCTTGCTGCTCTTTGCTCTGTCAGTTATATTTCCCTGGTTTCTGGGATTTTGGAAGGACCTCACTATGACCCCAAAGTGCTGACCACAACCTCACCTGGGGTGGTTCCTGCCAAAATAAGAGACGTAATTCATAGTTGCTAAAACTGTTAGCCATGGATTTGTGAATGATCTACTATTTAAGGTTTTTATTCTTGGGCTGTATTCCCGCCTCCTCCAATTTTTCTAGTTCTTAAGTCATAATGTCATACAGACTTCAAGTAGCTCTGAGCACCTTTCCATTTTCTTTTGTGCGTATTATCTAAGTTTTACATACTTCGAATCAATGAGTGTCAAACCGCGATGACAAAAGCTACCATTAATGAGTCCCTCCCCTGTTTTAGGTAGAGTTCTCATGTTTTAGCTCCATCTTCCTAAGGCTTTCCAGTCTTCTTGCAAGTTAGGCCCTTTAATTTTCATGTTATAAATGAGGCTGAGATTCAGAGGAGTTAAGTACTGTTCCCAGTGTCAATAATCCAGTACGTTGTAAGGTCAGGATGCACACCAGGCCTCCCTCGTCCACAGTCTCTTCCTTATACCATTGCTGCTACTAGGAGCAGGTAAACTGAGGACTCGAGTCCTGGGGAATGTCACATGGTGTACTCCAGAGCTCAGCGAAATATCTGTTGTGATCCACTGACTATAATGGAGTGGTGTGTTTTTTTGAGGTGTTACTGGGGCTTCCATAGTCACTTCAGCAGAGAGGCGGAGCACTTATACCACACCTTGGAGTCTTCCTACCAGAAGGCTCTGCAGTCCCATCTGAAGAACTCAGACAGCATCGTGTCTTTGCCGCAATCGGATCGCTCATCTTCTAGCTCTCAAGAGAGTCTGAAGTAAGGAATTATGAGTGTGAGATTTTATACTTAAAAATTTGCTGCATGACAACACAAATTCTAGCTCTGTCTTTTACATATATGTATGTGCCTGTTACAATTCCCACTTACTTCAGATGGGCTCTGGGACTAGGTAAGGTGCTGTGGGAATGGTAAGATACAAGTGGCCGTGGTCTCTGCCATAAGGAGCTTTTAGTTAAATTTATATGGCAATCCAATTGTACAGTTCTGGAGTGATATAAGTGAATTATTCAAAATGTCTTCTAAGGGCATATACGTATTAACTTGGAGACAAGTTTGGAAAGGGAGGGCTTCAAAACCTGGGACTTAATGTATTGATTGTCATCTTCACTTCTAATATTTGTCTCTAGCTGTGACTTCTTTCTGTGTGTTTGGAAGACAGTTGAAAATATAATGTTAAAGCTTTTCTGAAATTGGGGGTTTATAAGATTGTGGCCCAAATTACCTGAGAAAGTCTCAAAACCCTGAAATAATTCTTCATTTTAATAATTTCCATTTATAGATTGTACTTGTATTAATGCAGATCAAGTGCACATTTGATAATAAATAGGTTGTATGCCTTTACTTTCAGTCGGCCACTCTCTGCCAAAAGAAGTTCTACTGCAAGTACCACCTCTAGAGGTAAGAATAACAGTGTGGAGATGGTTGTACACCAGAGGCCTCTGTGACTAACCCCTGGTGGGCAGTACTGCTCCCAGAGGCTGCTCTCAGCGCCGCCTCAGGCCTGCAGGGTATGCTTCTCTGCTCTGCGTTTCGACTGTCTCAGCAGAGCCCCACTTTGCCAGGGACCATTAGCTGTGGGGAAGACATGGTTAGGATGACGTAGGCAGGCAGAAATTGGGCTCTGGCACCTTTCCTCAGGCATCTCCCTCCAGCATGTGGATATTGCCACAAATAGGCAGTTCCTTCGCTCTGGTCACTGGTGAGAAAGTAAAGACAGTCTGTGATGCTTTGAGCAGCAGCAGCGCGGTGGCTGTCAGAGATGGGAGAGGCGAGTGTTTCCTGAAGTGGGGTTGTGGGGGGGCCATCCAGGTCAGAGTGCACACTTTGCCACATCATGAGGAAACTGGCCAGACCTGAACAATTTTCATTGTTTCACTTCTCACATTAACCAGAAATAGGGTCCCTTTCTTTGGGGTTTTATAATCTTTGATTATAAGAAGACAAATGTAATAGGTATGTATCGTTGTAGTCACTTTTTATTTCCTCAGCATTGGCTGAACTCTGTCTTCAGTGACCAGGAGAAACTGTTGGCCAGTGCTGTGGGCTCCAGCCTTTGTTAAAACGTGATATTTGTTATAAAGAAATGCAAAACTTGTTTTAACAATATATGTATACGATTCTAGTGTAGTCCTTACTAATGTTTCTTCTTTTACCACTAAGCTTCTACCATTAGTACCAAATCTGCGTCAACAACTGGGTCCCTGCAGCGGTCTCGAAGTGACATCGACGTGAACGCAGCAGCCAATGCCAAATCCAAAGCCTCCTCAGCGTCGGGTGCCACGCCTTTCAGCTCAGCAGCGGCCCTGCCTCCAGGGTCATATGCATCCTTAGGTAACCACTCCCACCCCTTTCCCCCCAACGTCCTGCTGTTTGAGGTGACACTGACCTCTGCGCAAATTTATGTGTTTAGCTAATTAGAAAAATCCCTAATGGAAGAAATTCTCACTGTGGAAGGGCTGTTTAAGTAACCCGGTGCACTTACTGTAGGTTAGCAGCCCCCTCTTTGCTTATTCGGAAGCACCATCGTTTTTAGTGCCCAGAAGGTACACTGGTGCTCCCAGGGTGCGTGGCCCAAGTGTCCTTCCCTTACTTCCACTCCCCTCCTCCATGGCCGCCCAGCCAGCGCCTGAACCCCCTCCCGTATTGCCAGAGCTAGGTGTTCTCCCTTCCTGACACTGGTGGGAGCAGAGCCAGAGTGGTTTAGTGAGGAAATCACCAGAGGGAGTCATGTAGTTATTAGAGATGCTCTAATCTGAGACGATAGCTAGAGAAGGAGATGTGTGGGAGGAGGAGGACAGGATGAGAATGGGAATGTGGGGGATGTACTAACCACCATACCCATCTTGTACAGAAGAGGTGTCCTTCCCCGTGGGACCTTGGGAAGGGCATGCATGTACTCTAACGATGGCCCAAAAGACTTAAAAAAAAAATTATTTGCAAGGGTTAATAGCTCACAGAGTGCTAGGTCAGTTTCTCAGTTTTTCAGCAGACACTGAACACCTGCTGTATGTAAGGCTGATAATTTATTTCATTTTATTTTTGTTAGATCAAAGTTGTCCAAAGCTGAAATCTGGGGACTTAGCTGGATCAGTTTTATTTTGGATTTTACAGAAATGAATACAATGTAAACTTCATGAAACACTGAGACTGGAGTACTTATGTGGCTTACATACTAATTCCAAAATCACTCTTCAACAAATGTTCTAAAAACGTTTTGCCCATGGAGGGCATCGGGAAAGAATACGAAGGGAAGATACTGGGCCTGTTGCTTACTAGCTTGGTACCCTTGAGCAGGCCACAGAATCTTTGAGTCTGTTTTCTCTCCCTATAAATTAGTTGTAATAATAGCTACCTAACCCAGATAGGTGATAGAGATAAATGAAATTATATGAAAGGGAGAGAAACTGATTATGATAGGAACATTATTAATTTGCAAGGTCCATGTTCTGGACCGTTTGTTAAATCAGTCTTGTTTTCTCTAGGGAAATACCTCATATATGGGTACATTCAGACTGGGAAGAAACCCAACAGGAGTTCTCCTTCTCTGTCATTTAACTGTTGTAGCATTACATAGATGTTTTTATGATATTATGTTGCTGTGAAGTCAGAACTCCTGTCCTATGGTGAAGCAGTTCTGTTAATTTTACTTCAGTTTAAGTACTACTTACCTGTGTTTCAATACATTTAACCCATCTTGAATATAATTAATATTTGTTTTATTTCTAGAAAACCTGAGTAAAAAGCATCATTTAGAGTACTCGGTAGCCTTTGTTTTCTGTGCATATTTGAGCTATTTTGGTATGGACCATGTAGATGTCCCTCAGTCCTAGTAAAAGCACCCGGGTCTTTTGGTCTCAAGATGTAGAACTGACCTTTTAGAAGCACTGATGATACCTTTTCAGCCCAGCATTAGTTCCTCAGTAATAAAACTGGAGTATTCCCATTCTCTTATCTTTTTCCTGACTGCTAGACCTCTAGTTTTCCTTATGTCCAAAACAACGAAAAACAATGGCAGAAAACCACCCTGAAGTATAACATAATTCCACTGAGAAGTTGTCACAGTTACTACTTAGGTTGATACTTTCCGTCTGTGTGGAAGTGTAGCATTAAAGCTGATGATCCTTTTCGAACTTCTAGAGTCCAGACACATGAGGGAAGATGTGGAGTCCATAGGCCTTGACTCAGGTACCACGCTGTGGAGCTTTGCTGCTGACGTGTAGCTGGCATAGGCCTTGCTAGAGCTAGCTAGCTTCTTTCAACTCTACCTGCCTCCACCCTTTGAGTGACTTTATAGTTTAGCTTTTAGTTCTGCGTGTCCCCTACCCACCCCTTCTGCTGGTACTTTGTTCCAAAAAAAAAAAAAAAAGGAACTCTTAAGAGGATGAGGGTTACCTAAAAGAAAAAACAGCAATCGCTGTCAACCGAGACTCCGTCCTGGACCGCCCTTTTTGTGTTGTTTTCCAAAGACAAAAGCACAAGATGCTAAACTAATTTCAAGATAAGGCACTTTTACTTGCTTCAGATTCTGCTTTGCTGTTGAACGTGTTTACCTTTTAATTTTATTTTAAATTGTACTTTTGCTTTTTTAGTAGCTAATAACATTCTGCTTTTTAAGTTTTTTTTAATGTTACTAACTGTTCCCTGTTATCCCTCCCTTTGTTTTTTAATTTGCTTAAAGATGGTACTGCCACTAAAGCGGAGGGTAAGCAGTTTGTTTCTGTGATAGAGGTGTGTCTCCGTCTCACTGGTCCTCTGTCTTCACCGAGTGCTGCCTCCTGCTCACTTGTGTCACTGAGGTCCCCGCATGCAACTTTGCACGCTCCTCCCCCCACTCCTCATTCTGTTTCCACTGGACTTGTGCCTCACCTCTACCGGAATCCTCTTCCCTTTCTTGTTCAGTCGTTGTTCTTGTGAATTTTGGCACTTAAGTATGTATATGTGGTTTTCAACTCTAGCCCACGCGGGGAAGGAGAATTGATGTGACATTGTGCTGCTGTCGGCCTGGCTGCTTGTCTCGGAGTTTAGTGCTCCTGAAGTACCACCTTAGCTTTTATTTCCTTCTCTCTACTTTTGTGCTTTTGTGGGCCTCTCAGGACTTGCTTTTCTGTTTTGAAAATAAATTTCAGTATCAATTATTCAGGTTAAAGGCTGGTAAAGGTTTTCTATCAGGTAATTTACAGAAATTAAAAAAAAAAATCTCCCTAAAGCTACTACTAAATTACACAATACCATTTTTATTTGTATCACTGACACATACTCCATTCGTTCATTTACTCTCATTCACTCATCAGCCATGTATTAGATGCCTTCTATGTGCTGTGTTCTCTACTACACACAATGATAGAATGGTAAAAGGAGTACACATACCAAATCCACTTGGATTTGTTTTTATGCCGTTCTCAAGAGGGTCCTCCTGATTTTGCATTGTCTTTTGCATTTTAGACATAGCTGTTCCAGTGTACAGGTGTTTGATTAGCACCTGGTAAACAAAGTCATCCTTTGCAAAGTCTCTAGATAGAAAGCATGATAATGTTTCACGTATTGAAATTTATCTACCTCATCTGTTCAAGAGAGTGGCTTAGACCTCCCAACCCTCAGGATAATGATTTAACGATTAGGAACTGTGGTTTACTTCTGTATATTGTTTAGCCACTCTCAAAGACTAGCCTGCAAAGCAGACTGGGTTTTGCCTTGATGTGTGTAGTTCACAGTACTTTAATCCATATTCTACCTTCTAAGGAACTCAGAAAGGAAAATTAGGAATGGCATTTTGTTTTTAAGATGAACATAGCCCCAAGATTGGTGTTCTTCAAACTTAACATAAAAATTACCTGGATGCTTGCTAAAGGAACAGTCCCATGTCCTCCCCTGAAAATTCTGTTTAAGTTTGGAAGGAGCAGGGGAATCTGAATTTTCTACAAGCTCTACTGGTGATTCTTAGGGTTGGAGAAGTTTGTGAAATGAGAAGTTTCCACAAATGAAAACTGGACAAGAAACCTGAGACATGGTGACCTCATTTGTGATAGTAGAAGACTGAGGCAGGGTGTGATTTTCATTTTTTTAGCTGATCTGAGTAATTTTATATTTCTCCTTCCCAAAGAAACCATCCTAAGTATTTCCTCAGCCAAGATGGAAGGGAAGTGTGGGGGGTGAGATCCAGTAGTGTAGATGGAATGGAAAGTGAAGACATTATGTAGGAAATTATATTTTTTTCCAGCATGCCCTGATTTCATATGCTTATGTAACAGAATTGAAATCAGCCTGTTAGTCTGGCCAGCACTAGGAATTTTTCACTTTTTTTCCTTCTGATCAATTTTCTTTTTTACCAGTCCAGAGTGAGGTCAGAAGTCTGCCCCCTTGATTATTATGGAAAATACTGAACAAAAGTCTCTGGTTCTCTTTCTGGCCGGGAAGTGGGAGAATGACCTGTGGACCCTTAATTGTATAGAGTTCAGAGTCAGACGGAAGAGAAGTTTCTTGAGGGGAGCCCAGTGAGCCTTGGTCTCTGCATCCTAGGGCTGTGGGGGCTGTTGCAGTACTGACCAGTGAGAGCCTTGAGCCCTGGGTGACGAGGAGAGGGAAAGGAGAGACAGCTCTGGTAGACATGCAAACTCCAACGAGTCTAGGCTGTCATTTCCCTGTTTGTTGCAGCAGTGAAACTTGGCAGTGATGCTTAGAAAAGCCACAGATGGTTATTAGAAAGAGGCAGCGATAAATAACATGTAGTGTCTTGTCATGAGTTTCCTATCTGAGTTTTTGCAATCATTATGGGCCTTTTAAAAATTCTGTTAATAAGCCTGCTAAATATTTTACTGTCTAGCTCCTGTGACAAGAAGAGATAGGTACTGTCATTATTAGGAGGAAAAGAGATGATTTTTGAATCAGTACGTGCATGCTCTAAATTCAGAATTCAGACAATACATTTGAATTCTGGCAAATTAATTATTATAGTAATTGAGAAAAATATATATTTTGGGGGAGTTATTTATCATACACATCAAGTAGCCTTTCTAACATTTATGACTAATCAGAAAAATATTTTTTGTGAAGAACTGAAAGCTCAACTTTTGGACAAAAGTTTACTTCCAGGTTATCTTTTAGTGTGTTATTTATGTTCAGTAATTTTGGGGATTTGGAAGAAGGAAGCATTTCTGTTGTCTGTTATGCTGCTCATGAAAAAGTTGATGACTAGATGTTGAAGTTGTATGGCAAATGAATGCACTCTCATCTAATACTTTATTTGTAGCTACCATGTTTAGGAAATGCATTATTCATATTTTTCCCAAAATAAATAATTTTAAAAGAAGAGTTACAATGCTTGAATGATCTGTGGGAACTGATTCAACTGATAGGTTCAGAGAATAGATAATCATATGTTATTAAGTGTAGTCAAAGACCGTGCTTAACTCTTAGTGATTTTAGGATTACATAATAAAAACTATGCAGCCTTGTCTGCTCTTCAGGAAAAACAACTTAAATTATAGTTCAGTTTTACTGGGAAATACAACATTTGGTATTGCTATATATTTATCCAAGAACTCTAAATTTTAAGTGATTAGCTTTGTTTACACAGTGAAAAAATATGTATGTCTGTATGTAGAAATAAAAGAGTGTTAAGCTTTTACTTTTTTTTTTTTTAAAGATTTTATTGGGGAATTGGGGAGGGTAACAGTGCTGGGGAATCGGGGGAAGAAGAACAGACAAGTTGCTGACCTTGTGTTCTTCAGTCTAGTTGTGGAGGACGTTGTTGCTTCTCTGGCCCATGTTGGTATTATCATTGTGCTCTTCCCAGGTGAGGCAGATCGGTTGCGAGTCACTGGACAGCGGCTCTTGGCAGCTCACGCTGGCTGCCGGCCACTCACAGTAGCTTACAGGAGCCCACTTGCAGCTCCACTGCAGCCTATGCCGTCGGACTCATGGCAGCCCAGCTCCAGGTTGAGCTGTTGTTCACCATCTAAGCTGTAGAGGGCGCAGCATCACTGGCCCTCATGTGGGATCCTGCTGCTCAGAGCTGACGTCCCAACCAACTTCTAACCAACGCGCGCCACTCGGCCGGCCCAGTTTTGCTTTTACTTTTATCTTTAAAACATATGAGGAAAGCTGTCCTTTTTGGGGAGTACTTGTAGGTAGTAAAATTTACAACTGATCCATTTCCCAAATTTAATTTTGATTCTGTCAAAAATGCTACTTTCGAGTAGAGGTTGGTTTAACTGTGCCCCCAAGCAGTGAGTCATAAAATAGATATGTCTGCCCAGATGTTCCAATGTGACGAGAGTTGAGACTTACCTAGGAGACCTTTTGATTTTTATAACCTCTAAATTGAGAATTGGCTGAAATTTTGAAACATGTGGGGGACAACAAACTCTAGTGATAGGAGACTATGTGGGGATTTTTTAATCGTCTTAGGCTAAACTGAGTATGGGAAAGCCATGCCTGCAAATTAAACTGGACACAGGTTTAATTATCCATTTTGAGGGCTTTTCTGGAAGAAGGGCAACATGATTAAAAAAAAATTCTTCGACAGTGCTATTAAAAAGCCACGTGATGCGGATTTTCTTTTTTTTTTTTATTCCATGAAATTCAAAGATGGCACTCCTCTTAAAATTCTGTTTTCCTCTGGGTCTGCGTTTCTCTGGGAGGTAGGCTTGTTTGTTGATGCGCTTGTTCCTCCCTGCAGACTTCTTTTCTGTTGTATAATTCTCTGATATCTTTTATTTCTATTTCTCTTAATTATTGTGACCATTTTCTTTGCACATCTTCTTTCTCTGTCATAACACAATATAAATAAATATGAATATGTCATTAACAAGTCATAATACCAAACTGAAGTATATGTTTACTGTTTGTTGCATTTATTGAGTATGCATTTGTTTTTTCCTAAAGACCACAGATTTATTTTATCCCATCTCCGTAAAACATATTACAGGCACTTTTCGTAATATCGCCTAATAGAATTTTTTAAAAAACCCACTTATTCCTATAAAAGAAATATGTATCTTAGTATAACACAATAGAGGCCCTTTAAACTCGCGCCCCACCCTCAACAACAACAACAACAACAACAAAAAGGATTTTAAGGGCCCCTTGAGGACTTAGTTACTAGTATAGGTCCCCAGGACAGACTTGAAACAAGCCCTTGAACTCACCCCAGGTAAGAGTTACAAGTTGGCATTAAGCCAGCTTTGTCAAGGTGCTTATATATCCATGAAAAAGTGGACTAGGGGAAAAAAAATTCTTTATCTTCAAATTGACAAGATCTCTCTCGACTTTGTCCTGGGCGGAGAAAGAAAACCGATCTTCCTAAACCAAGTTCTCTTGTTATGAAGTTGTAGTTTCACTTTTCCTTATCTGTGTGTCTGGGAACCCCCAAGCTGATGAATTAAAGTGGTCTGCATTTGTAGCCCCCCAGGGTGCCTGACAGAACAAACATTGAACTTTTACAGAGGAAGCCACTCTCAAATCTGGTTCCTCAAGGTTCCCACAGATGAAAATATGCCAAATCTCCTATTCGTAGTCCAAAATTACATCTATAGTGAGTTAGAGGCAGCAGAGATAAAGAAAAACATAATCCTTTAAGACTTTGAGGACATTTTATATAATATAAAATAACTATATTTAAAAGTTTAAAAGAAATAAATAACTTGCCTTTCTAGCACAGTGAAGAATTTAATAGTCTGAACGATCTTCCCAATTGAAAACAAA